GTGTGACATGGAAATTACACATTACCTTTGTTTTGTCCATGTTCATCTTAAGACCTATCCGTCGGGAGACACTATTGAGGTCGTTGAGCATAGTGCTTAAGTCCTCCAGCGATTCTGCCATAAGGACTGTATCGTCGGCAAATCGAAGGTGAATGATGTACTCGCCATTGATGTTAATACCGTATCCTTTCCAGTCCAATAGCTTGGTAACGTCTTCCAATGCAGCGGTGAAGAGTTTCGGGGATATAACGTCACCCTGTCTTACACCTCTCTGCAGTTGGATAGGTTTCGAGCTCTGGTTCTGTACTCGGATAGCCATCGTAGCCCTACTGTATAAACACTTCAGTACTTCGATATACCGACAGTCAACTTGCCACCGCTGAAGGAACTGTAGCACCGCCCAAATTTCGACGGAATCAAAGGCTTTCTCATAGTCCACATACGCCAGGCAAAGTGGCAGATTGTACTCTTCAGTCTTCTGTACAATCTGACGCAGGGTATGTAAGTTGTCTACGGTACTGAAGCCTTTTCAGAAACCGGCTTGTTCGGGAGGCTGGAAGTCGTCGAGTCTGCGTGCGAGACGATTCGTAATGACTCTCGCGGCTCTGAAGGGAAATCGGTCTGTAGTTCTTCAAGAGAGCGTTGGTGCCTTTTTTAAAGAACAAGACCACCGCACTTCTGCTCCACGCCTCTGGAGTAGTGCCACCATGGAGGACGGAATTGAAGAGCTTCTGAAGGACTCCAAGTACCGGTGTTCCACCCGCTTTCAGAAGCTCCGCCGTAATTCCATCCTCGCCTGGGGCCCTGCCGTTTTTAAGGTGCTGGAGAGCCATTCTAATCTCGCTTAGACTGACGTCCGGGATATCATCGGAATAGTGTCGGATAAGACTTGCTCTTGGATCGTTACTCAACTTGCGTGTGGCTCCAACGATGATGTGTACAGCTGCCCGCCATGATGAGAACCTCTCAATCTCATTCAAAATCTCAGGTGTTCCGGAAACGATGCTGCCACACTCAGTCTTCAGCTTTGACAGTTGGCTCTTACTGGCAGACAGATCTCTGGCAAAGACTTTGGAGCCCTGGTTCCACTCGATCGCTTCTTTAATACGAGCAGTATTAAAGTTACGTAAGTCTCGCCGCATGCATTTGGAGATCTGTCTGTTCAGTTGCCTGTATGCTGTCAAATCTGTTGACGATTGTAGCCTCATCTCCCGTCTAACAGCCATGGGATTAAGAGTGTGATCGGATAGTTTTTGTGTTCTTCTGCGGCGGGTCTTGCGGAACTTAGCTCCGACCGCATTGACAGTTTCCACGAGCTTGTCATTCATATCGTCCACTGCATTGCAATCTTGTAGGCACTGAAAGCGGTTACGTAACTCGAGCTGAAAGTTTTCGGGATTCTGATAATAAGTAAATTAAAAAAGTAAATTAAAAAAGTGACTTTCAATAAGTATTTTTATAATCTACATTGAATAAAAAAGTTTCTATTTCTATTTCTATTTCTGAATTAGAGCACGAGGGAGACGGAGCGTTGACTTCATTAGACGAGACCTCTCCAACTTAACGTTTAGGTTCAGTGTGCCTCTAACCATTCGGTGATCGCTGCCAGTTTTCACCCTTGCGATCACTGAGACATCACTGAACAGTTGGTGTCTGGTCGTCATAATGAAGTCAATCTCATTTTTTGTCGAACCGTCGGGGCTCGACCAGGTCCACTTCCTGTGGGGCCGCTTCTGGAAGAAAGAGTTCATCATAAACGGTTCCTCTTTCTCCATACAGTCGGCCAGCTGCTGGTCCCTTCGATTCCGTTGCCCTACTCCAAATTTCCCTAACTTCAGCTCACCGTTTTCTCTTGTGCCTAGTTTTGCGTTGAAGTCTCCCATCAACACCGTGTAGTAGGTTTTGGAGGAATGCATGGCTTTGGAAATATCCTCATACATTTCCTCCACCTCCTCATCGGGATGTGCCGAGGTTGGTGCGTAAACCTGTATGACCTTCAGCGAATACCGTTTGGTGATTCTGAGTATCAGGTACGCGACCCTCGTCGACACACTCCCAATCTTTACAACGTTGTTGACGAGAGACTTGTGGACGATAAATCCGACACCTCCTTGGGATAGATGGTCGCCCTCCCTCCTCCCGGTGATAGAACAAGTTGCCGGATTCGAGAATCACCGTGTCCTCCCCCTCTCTTCGGACCTCGACCTAATCCTATAATATTCCAGCGCAACTTGTCTATCTCTTCTTCCAGCTCCAGGATCTTCTCGTCAGTCCTCAGGGTGCGTGCGTTAAATGTGCCGGGTCGAGTCGTCGTAGGTGGCAACCGAACCTCCACCGGAGATTCTTAGCACCCCCTGCCTGGCTGACTGGCCGAGGGCTAGTAGTAATACCAATATTTGTCAGTATTAGTTAATACGAATATATTCGTCAAGTGATATAATAAATATTTAAATTAATATATGAATATTACTGATATCTTAATGTACATATTACTATTCTATTCATGTAGGTATTAAGTTTATGTTACCACGTAACGTTATTAGTTTTTATAGCCGTGTATTATGTGCTTATATGTTTATATGCTTTGATAAATATTAATGTTGTTATTAAATAAATGATATTATAGTATATGTATAAGTATTACTGAAAGTGATTTTAAGTGATTAGAATTAAAATAAATTCCACTGCTCAAAACAAGGGCCCTTGTTTTGTTAGTTTAATTTTTAATAGTATTTTATGATACCTAAAAATATGTGAACTCATTTTAATGAAAGTCGATATGATCTTAACAAGAATTATGGGGAAATACCATGACAATAAAACTAATATATCACCAATAATTTTATTATATTACATTAACTGAAATATACACTATTAAAAATACCACTAGAGAGTCAAGAAATTTTAGATATCTATAAAGAGTTTTTGTATTTGTTCATTGTTATATTTATGGATTATTTTATTAGAAATAGAAATGACATTATCTCCTCAACACATAGGGAACAATTTGTTGGCCGCCATGTCCCAGGAAACCTGCATACCTTTGGATTTTCTAAAAAAAATATACATGCTACGAATTTTTGCAATTGTTAGAAATAATAACGAAAGTTAAAAAAAATAATCGAAAAATTCAAAAATATATAAGAGTAAATTATTTTTAAAGGATAGTAGGTAATACTGATTATTTCGTACTGAAATACTAAGTGTTGGTTAATTATTTAAGATTACCATTAACTGTCGTGCATATTTGGTTTTGTCGGAAGTTTTAATATTCCTCATTTAATAAAAGTTGATTTAAAATTGAACGTATCTTTCACTACCCAAACACATAAGTTTACATAATATATAACATATACCTACTATGTATCTTCTTTGGTACAAGTCTATAATATTCCATTTCGGTTCGATATCAACCCTAGCGTTACACGCTTCGACTCAAGGCACCGGCGCTTAAGCTCTCACGTACAGGAAGTGTCACCGCTGTGCCTTAGGAGAATTTTTATCCGCTGGCGGTCGAGTTCCCGCCAAAACTTCTATTAAAATTTTAATCTTTGTTTATGGACTCGTACGGTAATACTTTCGCCAGTATCAAATAATAAAAATTATCCATAAAAAATAAATATAAAAAACTTTACAATATGCTGATTCATCACAATGCTGAGATTTTGACGGCAGGCTCACCATCATGACCACAGTATTTCTACTAAGTTGGAAATTTTGTAGGCTCGAAAAAGGGTTACCATCCTCCTAAAAATTAAAACTATAGCTAACAGCGCTGTCTATTGTCCAAATTCACCTCTTCTCTTTTTTTTTTTTGCAATGTGCCATAATTAAATTATAATTCTTTACAAAATTGTGGTAACAGCCACAAATACACAGCTTTGAGCTACTTACATATTTTATGAACACGAGTGAAATAGCAACTACGTAATTGTCGGCGACAAAGCACATAATTAACCAGTCACGAATTGTGTTTTAAAGACTATTATAATTTCTTAATTAGTGTAGTTAGCGCCTGCAACAAAACATAATTTACCAAGTGACGAACTTTATTTTAAGACTATTATAATTTCTCAATTAGTGTAATTAGCGTATTAACTCATATTAGAATATAATTTAAATATAGTTAGCTTTTAATAATAATTTTGTAAGGAAGTTTGTTTGTAGAATTTGTATTGTAAATACTTATAAAAAATTTAAGTTTTGTTTAACGCTTGAAAACTGGTGTTAGATTAAAGGTTTATATATAACATAATGTAAACAAAAAGAAATAAGTAGATCAGACATCTGTTTCAATAAATATAAGACAAAATGTGTAGTAAATTAACAATTTTGTAGGGTTTATTGCTCTAGAAGTTTTGTATAAACAACTTAATAGTTTATATTGTTATTTTATATTATAGAACATTACTAGAGCAATTTAACAATGTATAATTTGTAAAGGGTATGTAAAAGTTTTAATAAATAAAGGCTTCTAAGGTTTTGGCTCGAAATAAAAACAACACGCGAGACAGGGAAAACCGCGCGGACGTTCCGTACGGTAACGCCGGCGGGTTAAAAAACTGAGCAAATTTCGGCTCAAATCGCAGTCGCAGCTGTCGAAGAGGCTACAACTACAAGAAAAAAGGAAGCCGAAACCTAAGGAACAAGAAGCTACCTGGAAAAAAAAATGTTTTTATTGCCTCCTCCCGGCTGATCGTCTATCTCTCTCTCTCTCGAGGTCCCAGTTGGGTCGTATTATACGTACGCATTCAGGGGTGCGTGGGACGTGCGTCACCAGCACTAAGCAAGGAACGTACGTCATTAAGTGGGAGACTGTCCCAGGGCGACTGCGGGCACTGGACGTGTCCCTGCCGTCCGAAACAGTTGGTCCTTCGAAATCCGGATCCCTGCTAGAAGTATATAGAAGAATCCGTTCAAGATGCCGGTTACCAGGTCACAGAAGGATGCCCTCTCACGTCCAGAGTCCCGTCCCTCAGATAAGGACCGCGACAGGTGAAATGTCGGGATCAGAAGGGGTCACGTCTGCGTCAGCGTCAGCATCATCAGGAACAGCAGCTACGTCAGATTCTTCAGGCACTACGACCACAGAGGATACCACCACGACAGAGACCACGATTGCAACTGCCACCACGGCGGCGTCCGAGGATAACGGACATAAGGATGAAGCCGCACAGAAGGAGATGACCAAGAAGACTCCAGAGGATATTCCAGACAAAGGCGTTCATGGCTCTGCCACAACCCTTAAGCCAAAGGGGGTCAGTAGTCGCGCCAGGTCTATGAAGACCACGAGCTCCTCAGCCAGGAGACGGGAGCTGGAAGCCAGAGAAGAATTAGCACGCATGGAGCTGAAGCAAGCTCAAGCTGCGGCGAAGCTAGCACGCGTCAGATTAGAGCTGGCACAATGTGAAGAGGAGGACTCCGTGGATGAAGACCAGGAAGACAGAACAGCACAGGTGCAAAACTGGATCGAGACATCAGTAATGGAAGAAAACAACATGGGAAAACGCGAGCAACGAGGTCAGCAACCTCCGGAAGAGCCAAATGTGAAGCCTGAAGAAAACTCCTCAACGAAAAAAGATACGAGCGAAATTCAAGCGCTGACGATAGCATTGAAGGAAGCCCTTACCACAAGAGGAGGACCAGTTGCTCAGCCAAAGTATATCCACGAGCTACCCTACTTCGATGGCAACAGCAGCGAGTGGTTGGCCTTCAAGGTGGTCTACGAAGATACCGCCCCGATGTTCAACGCAGTCCAAAACATGTCTCGATTAAGAAGAGCACTAAAGGGCAACGCAAGAGAAGCTATCAAGAGCCTGCTGTACTCTGAAGTCTCTCCATTGGAAGTAATGCAGGCCCTCAGGAGACTATATGGAAGACCTGATGCGCTAGTGCTGGCTGAATTGGACAAAGTCAGGGCGTTACCAAAGATTTCCGAAAATCCAAGAGATATATGCGTCTTTGCGAGCCAAATCAACAACAGCGTAGCAGCAATAAAAGGTTTCAAGAAACCGCAGTACCTGAATTCACCTGAAATGGGTTTAGCAAATTATAGAAAAAATGCCTACAATCCTGAAGTTCCGATGGTATAACTTTACGGCAGCAACAGAAGAGGGCGAGTTCTCTGACCTGATGATGGTCAACAAGTTCCTGAACGCCTCCTCTATTGGAACCCGGACGGAATACAGCAGAAGCTACGTCAACTCCACACAGTCGCCCAGCAGCAGGACTTACATGTCATCTTGCTGGGAGAGACAAAACTAAATCCCAAGACGCATTTAAAGCTGCCAAATTACCACCTATACAGAAGGGACGAGGTCACTTCTCATGGGACTGCCTATAGAGGGACGGCGGTTCTAGTGAGGAGGGACATCGTCCACCAAGAGCTGGAATTACCAACATACCATACAATGCGCTCTATCGGCATAAAAATGGAGGTGGCGGGCGAGGAAATAAGGATCTATGCAGCATACCGCCCGTCAGGGACACCATTTTGCTCCTCAGACGTCCGGACGATAATGGAAGGCGATACACCCACCATTATCGCCGGGGACCTAAACGCCAAATACCCGGCGTGGGGGTCCAGAGTGATCACCACGCCGGGTCTTGAACTTTATGAAGACGCACAAGCACGCACGCAGCAAGACGGAGAATAACAACTATGACGTTTTAGGTCCCGAAGAACCGACACACGTTCCATCTGATCCACGAAAACGTCCGGATGTATTGGACATCGTGCTCACTAGGAACGTCAACTACCCGATAGTGGTAGAAGTGCTGTACGACCTAAGCTCACATCACCTCCCGATTCTGATCACCCTTGGCCTAAAGGCGGTGATTACGCCGCCCAGAGCATTCAAGACACGTGTCGACTGGAGGTTCTACCGTCAACATCTGCAGGAGAGACCTCCAGTCCACCATCCTATTAGCACAGCGGACGACGCTGCTACTAGAATTACCAAGAACATCCAGGAGGCCCTCCATGCGGTCTCTACGATCGTCCCGATCACTGCAAGGCGAGACGATCTGCCGCATGAGATATGCGTGCAGATCAGGCGCAAGAGAGCGTTGAGGAAGCTCTGGGCGCGTACTCGCTGCCCGAGACTGAAGACACAGCTGAACACCTTGTCGGAGGAACTCTCGGTTGCAGTCCAGGCTTACAGAGGAGAGGCCTGGGATCGGCGCATATGGAAGGCGGATGAGCATGATGCGTCGCTCTATAAACTGAACCGACAGTTGAACACAGCCAGACCTCCCGTTTGCCCGCTGACCAACAGCGCGGTTGAACGCTGCTACGATGCCAAGGGCAGAGCGGATATCCTAGTAGAGCACTTCGAGGAGCAATTTATGCCGAACCCAGCAAGTGCAGAGTTCATGGAGCTTCATGCCCGGAAGGAGAGTCGCGTACAGGAGTTCCTGTCCTCGCCCGCGCCACCGCTTACAGGAGAGTGGTCCAGATGAACCACTCTCCTGCACCACGATTCAGATGAACCACTCTCCTCCGCAGTTCAGCGGGGAGATCCCCCGCTGAACTGCGGAGGAGTTTTGCCGAAACCCGGGAAGGACAGGCGTAGAGCTGCCAGCTACAGGCCGATCACGCTATTACCGCACATAGCTAAACTGCTTGAAATATTGCTACTGAGACGTCTCCGTCCGTGCATCCAACTTCGGGCGGAGCAGCACGGATTCAGGAGGGGTCACTCCACAGTCACACAGCTGACTAGAGTGCTGCACCTGCTTGCGGCAGAGTACAACCGAGGCCGCATATCGTTGGGCGTCTTTCTCGACATTGAGAAAGCGTTCGACCGGGTGTGGCACTCAGGATTACTATACAAACTACACGAACAGACCAGTGTCCCTCCTGCTATGTTGCGGCTAATGGCGTCTTTCCTGGAATATAGGAAGTTCTACGTCTGTGTAGGGGACGCCATATCCGCAACACGTACCATCAGATCCCGCGTTCCTCAGGGCAGCTGTTTGTCTCCAGTCCTGTACGCGGCTTGTACCAATGATATCCCTACACTGGCAGGAAGGCTGCAAGAGTGGGAGGACGACGTGGAGTGGAGTGGATGCGGACGATAGCGCCTATTTCACCTCGTCCAGAAGAGCCCCTATAGCCACTGCCAGAATGCAGCGTCTGCTGGACCTGCTGCCACCATGGCTGAATGAGTGGAGGATGGTCGTCAACGTTGGTAAGACGACCGCTCTGCTCACTCGCCGTCTCAGAAACTTACCACCTCCGCTGATCCTCAATGGCCAGAAGATCGCGTACGATAAGGCCGTGACCTACCTGGGGTGCCGGATCGACAGGACGTTGCGCATGACCGCGCACGTCGACTTCGTCGTCCGCAGAGCCAGATGTGCGCGGGCGATGCTCCGCCCAGTCCTGGCATTCAAGCTGCCAACAAGAACCAAGCTCCGGATATACAAGATGTATATCCGGACTATCATCACCTATGCTGCTCCGGCCTGGTACGCACTTCTGAGCGACCCCCTGAGGCGGCGACTGCAGGCTCAGCAGAATCTAACATTAAGGACGATAGTCGGAGCAGGTCGCTACGTCCGGAATGACGTCATAGCGGCCGATCTGAAAGTCGAGACCATCACCGACTTCGTGGCCCGGATGGCGCGCGGCATGTTCGACCGAGCCGACAACGGGCCACACGAACACCTCAACGGCTTCGCGCCGTTGCACACCCGGCCCCCGGACGGGCGACCTCTTCCAAGAGAACTCCTATCTATATTGATTAGAGAGTCGAGTATAAACACACAATGCCGCTGATAGGTCAACTTTAACTTTTTACTGGACAACCTCCCTTTTTACCGTAGTTAACCAACTACGGGGAAAAACTTTTTCTGACTACGGATTAACCCGCAGCAACCATCTACGCCTAGAAATAGGCTCCAAGGACTGACCCATAGTCATGGGCCATGATGAACATCCGGGTAATGGGGATATACCCCGAGGCCCGATACCTGCATGGCATACCCATGGCATGTAGACGACAACACGGCTCAAATCGCAGTCGCAGCACAGCCGTCGAAGAGGCTACAACTACAAGAAAAAAGGAAGCTGAAACTTAAGGAACAAGAAGCTACCTAGAAAAAAAGTGTTTTTATTGCCTCCTCCCGGCTGATTGTCTATCTCTCTCTCTCTCTCGAGGTGCCAGTGGGGTCGTATTATACGTACGCATTCAGGGGTGCGTGGGACGTGCGTCACCAGCACTAAGCAAGGAACGTACGTTATCAAGTGGGAGATTGTCCCAGGGCGACTGCGGGCACTGGACGTGTCCCTGCCGTCCGGAACAGTAATTACATATAAATGAAATAAACAATACACCACGTGGTTAAAAAAATGAACTCAATTAGTTGTCACATTGGACAATAGACAGCGCTGTTAACTATAGTTTTAATTTTTCGGAAGTTGGTAACCTATTTTTTGCGCCTACAAAATTTCGATCTTAATGGAAAAACTCGCTTTTAAGGTAATTACTTGAGGTTTACATCAACATCGACTCCGATGTCGGAGCACTCATCAGTTTTACATATCAAAATCCACTTCAAACCATTATCACGCAATAAATAATAGTATTATATTATATACGATAAAACAAAACTGGAGCTGTCCTTGCCGCTGAAGAATATCTATTCCGCCGGTGGTCAAGATTATTATTCTTTGGTAATGGACTGTACTGTACTTTTGCCATAGTCAAGTATTAAGAAATTTTACTTAATATTTTTAAGAGCTTTCAATATGGGAGATTTTGATGGCTGCTCGATCCATCACAGTCTATAATTATAGTATCTTAAGGCGCCTAAGCAGACAAAATCGCACCTGTTTTACGTATAAAATCCACTTTGCACCATTATTTGAATTTTAAACTAACACATAAATATCTTACACAATAATACAATAATAATGCAGGAATCCGGCGGTGCGGCGAGGCGTTAAGTTCCCGCCTTGGCGGTCAAATTTCTGCAACATATATTACTATTGATAATTGACAATAACGAAGGATTTTGTGCTCATAGTACTAAGTCTGATATATATTTTTTTCAGCCACTTTTTCATAATATGATGATGCATTGCAAAGGTTTTAGATGTTTATGACAGCATAACACAAGTGCACAATATTATATTTACTCTAAATATGGAGTATAAATACCTTAATTTCACGTTATCATTATCTGGCATACCTCCTACGTTCGTGCAGAAATGTTTAATGGTTACAAAAAATATACTACGAGCTCTAGTTGTCGTAGCACACAGAAACTTCATAGGAATACTGGTAATGTACTGGCCTCGTTACTGTAGTAGTTATAAACGAGGCTGCTGTCCATGTGGTACCCGAGTTCGAAACCAGGGTCGGGCCAAAACTATTTATTGAGTATTTCTGCCAAGTAATTCTCAGTGGCAGCCCGGAGGTGGCAACGATTCTCTCATGGCCTGGAAAACAAGTAAAGCCTTTGGTTTTGTGGTTCATCGCTCTACGCTCATATCGGATTATCGTCCCGTCGGACTAGAAAGATTGAGGAAATTGGTAGTGAACTTCTGCTTTTTCAGACACTCGTGCACTATAATTCTGTTATGATAGGTAGTCGCTGCTGAGTAGTGTAGTACTATTAGATCTGAAAAGAAATTTCA